TTTGCCGAGCTGCAGCTGGCACTGGGAGTGCTTCTTCCGAGCACCAGCTGGCACCGAGAGCGTTTTTGCCGAGCTGCAGCTGGCACCGGGAGCGTTTCTGCCCAGCTCCAGCTGGCACCGAGAATGTTTCTGCCGAGCTGCAGCTGGCACCGAGAGCGTTCCTGCTCAGCTGCAGCTGGCACCGAGAGTGCGTCTGCTGGGCTACAGCTGACACCGAGAGCACTTCTGCCGAGCTGCAGTTGGCACCGGAAGCGTTGCTGCCGAGCTGCAGCTGGCACCGGGAGCGTTTCTGCCGAGCTGCAGCTGGCACCGGGAGCGTTTCTGCCGAGCTGCAGCTGGCACCGGGAGCCATGACCGCTTGGGCTGCAGGGGGGTGAATCCTCTGTGCGACCTAACAGAGAAGGGGCATAATAAAACAGCATGAGTCACGTTTCACGTATTCTGTTCCTGCAGCTGGACTGCTGGATAATTTATTGGCGCGTGTAGTTATGGGGTCGGGAAAGTTTCCTGGAGTAAATGTGAGTTTAGTGGCTATTGGTCTGAAGTAGATGACCTGTCAACTTTAACAGCCAATGTCTAACACGCGACAAGTGAAGCTGGTGGGCAGTCGGTGACACTAAGCAAACGCGACATATATTCATAAAACTTGCTGCATGCCAGCCGTGTCGTGCAGGTGCTCGCTGGCTGGAAATATCATATTCAGCACGGATCAGACCAGCATGAGCTTGTACTCAAAGACAAAGACGAAGACAAAAGACTGCTAAGGGACACACCGGAACAGAAGCACCAAAAGCATTAGCATACCTTTTCAAGGCATGATACTGTCGCCGGCACACCCCATTAACGAAATCTTGCGCAAGCTGTCAAGACGTAAAGTGCAAGTAAGATGTAAGTAGAGTAAATGTAAAGCGTAATGTATGCCGGGGAGAAGAGGAGCGCTGAAGGACGTCTGCGTCAATCTAGGCGCTCGGAGCCCAAGACAATAGGAAGAACACATTCTACTTTCCATACTTGGTATATTAAGTGCACTATTTGCGACTTCTAGTTCCCAAAACAGAATTTATGGAAGAATGTTCAAACTCCAGCCGTCCGATAGCGAAGATGAAGGCGTGCAGTGCACTAGCGGTTGCGGTGCCTGCTCAGCGTTTTGTGCAGATAAATTAAGCGTGGTTGACAAGCCGTAAATGTCAATTTTGTCACGAAAATGAAAGGCCGCCGACGTTGCACCCCATCACCCTCCTAATTCACTGGAGAGCGGCGCGGTTACTGTAAGAGGTCGTGCTGCATTCTCATGACAAGGCGGTGAGTTTCGCCCACCGCCGCATCGAACGGCTCCTCTCCAAGCTCCCGTCACGGTGTAAATAACGATGCCATTACCGGAAGAGAAATGGCTGTGAAATAGCGAACTAGCAGCCGTGAGCAGCCGTGAGCGAGTGGTGCCGATTCCAGGCCGCTGCCGGAGCACAGCGAGGACAATGGTCTGCGAGATGAGGACACGCCGGTGCGGCCTCGCGCCGCGCATCACGCCGAATCCCGCACGTATTCAAACCATCGACCTTGCCGCCGAGCGGCGGGGCACCGGGCCGGTAATGATCTCGAGCCGGCACTGTTCGTCTGATGGCCAGAGCCGGCCGACAGACGCGGCTCGACCGGAGCGGCCGTGATGGCGGTCTGACGTAACGGCCGCGCGCCTCCGCCGTTGAACGCGCCGCGTCACGACCGTGTCGTCGGCGTCGCCGTGGCGAAATGGCGGCCGTCGCCGGCACGCGCGACCCCGGGTCACCGGTGCCGCCCGCGCGGGTCAGCCACTGTCTGGCCTCCCTCCCCCCACCCCGCCACTCACCGGTTACTCAAACGGTGATTATCGAAGATAACATATATATGTTCTTTTCGATAAGCACCGTTACACACATACACGTATATATATATATATATATATATATATATATATATATATATATATATATATACATATACCCTGACTTGCGTTAGGACCCCAACAAGCAGTCGAGTACGTGAATTACACACCTACTTACGCGCGGTGTGACTTTAGCGGTTGCATGCTAGTGGCTCTTATATTGCAAATCTTAATGAATGCATTGTGTAACAACGTAACGACGTCACAGAGCGATCCCGTTCTTTAGAACTAACCTTTTTATATAAAATTAAGAAAGTTGTCATTTTGTGTTTCCTGGTAGTACCTTTGAGTGCCCTTTTCATCCATCTATTTCATTTGGACCAATGTTAGTAAATTTTTAGGTGCCAACAGGCTCAGAAATCTCCTTCGAAAATGTGTATCCGATCGGAGCAGCCGCTCAGGATATACACTCCCAAATGTTCTGAAGGTCATATGAAGTTCACGCTTCGGTGGGCCATGCCTTAACAAGCAAACATGGTAACCGTGAGATGCAATCAAACAATTCTAAGACTACGGCTATACATAGCAGAAGACATAACTGATTTTAAATTTGATCACCATTTGCTACGAAGTGATTCCCTTGCGTAGTAATACAGCATTCTCAGTATTTGTCCGCTTAAAGCGCTCACTGAAAGTCCTGTCCTTTGAGCGTACCAAATTACACCTGCGATTCGCGCTGGATCTCCTCCACGGCGTCAAAACGGCGCCCCCCAAACTCGTACGTCATTTTGTGGCAGAGGAAGCAGTCGCAGGAAGCCCAATCTGGCGAGCAGGACGCGCTGTGAGCGACGATGGGAGCCTGGTTCTCCAACACAACACGCCCGCTCACAGTGCGTTGAAAACGCGTGAGTTATTGGCTTGAGCCACTGCCATCGCCGCCCCCCCCCCCCCCCCCCCACCGTTCCCGACGGGATTGGCTGCCTTAGAATTTCTTCTTTTCCCCGAGATAAAGTGCAGGCTACGGGGTCGCCGTTTTAATACCGCGGAGGAAATTCAGCGTGAATCATTGCAGCGATGCTTGACGCGCTTGAAGAAGGAGACCTCCAGGGGAGTGTTCGAAGCGCGGCAGAAGCGCCGAGAATGGTGTATCGTCGCACATGTTGGCTACTTGGAACGGGACGGCAGTCAAATTTAAATGAGTTACATTTTCTGCCTTTAGGCAAAGTCTTGGAACTCTTTGATTGTATCTCGTATAAGTTATCGGAAGTTGTGGACGCACAAGGGTATTTTTATGACAATATTTATGACGTGATGCCATTTGACAACACATTCCCTTGAATGGCGATATCTTTAGGCCAAGTTCTGGGACATGCACTAGATATTTATAGCATGCTTGACGTGGACAGAAATAAATAGCGATATTATTCAATCACCGATAAAAACAGTGTTAATATCATTCCTTAGTTTTTGGAGGTCGTCCATGGGCGGCACTCACCTCTGCTTACTCTAACCCCATCGAAGACGATCACGCCTTGGCGGTTGGGTGTGTCTGCTTTCTAATTGCGTGCCCCGTGCGAGGTAAAACGCTTGAAAGCTGACAGCAACCGAGTTGGATAAATTCCGGAAGTGGCGATCCGTAGCGAAGCTGAGACAGGACAGGCACTGATCCACAAACGCAAAACCACGTGCCACGTCCTCCCGCGGATGGACATACATAGTTTTACCTTGGAGCGACAGCATCTGTCGGATTTGGCTGCGCTTCAACGTCTACCGATGTTCATACTACGCAAGTCGTACTCATTGGGTGTGCTGAACGGGTCACGAGAAGTAAGAGGCATGTCCCGAAGATTTGGTTAGGATGCTGGTG